ACGAGGCCAGTCGAACTGTGGCGAAGCCAGGCGAGGACAGGCAAGGAGAGGCAAGGCCAAGGAGTCCAGGCGAGGCAAGGCGAGGCCTGGTGAGGACAGGCGTTGCCAGGCGAAGCCAGGTAAAGCAAGGCAAGGTGAGGCCAGGCGTTGCCAGACGAGGTCAGGCGAGGCCAGGAGAGGCCAGGCAAGGCGAGGCAAGACCAAGACGCCTCGCCTTGACTCGCCTTGTCACGCCTTGCCTCGTCTTGTTACGTCTTGCCTCGCCTTGTTTCGCCTTAACTCGCCTTGCTCTCCTGGCCTCGCCTTGCCTCGTCTGAATTGGCCTCGCCGTGCCTCGTCTGAATTGGCCTCGCCGTGCCTCACCTTGATTCGCCTTGCTCGGCTTGCCTGGCCGTGCCTCATCTTGCCTTCCCTTGCCACGCTTTGCCTCGCCTTGCCTCGCCTTGCCTCGCCTGAATTTGCCTTACCTGGCCTTGCCGTGCCTAGCAGTGAATCGCCTTGCCTCGAATTGCCTCGCCTTGCTTCGCCTTGACTCGACTTCCCTCGCCTTGCTCTCCTGTCCTCGCCTGTTCTCGCCTGGCATCACCTTAACTCACCTTGCCTCGCCTTGCCTTACCTCGCCTTAACTTACCTTGACTTGCCTCGCTTTGTCTCGCCTTGCTCTCCTTGCCTCGTCCTGCCTCGCCTTGCCTGCATCGCCTGGCCTCGCCTGACCTCACCTTGCCTCTCCCTGAATCTCCTTGCCTCGCCTCGCTTTTCATCACCTTGCCTCGTATTGCCTCTCCTCGCCATGCCTCGCCTGACATCTCCTGGCGTTGCCCGAACTCACCTGGCTCACCTCGCCTCGCCTTGTTTCGCTTCGCCTTGCCTCGCCTTGCATCGCCTGGCCTCACCTGGCCTCGCCTTGACTCAACTTCCCTCGGCTTGCCTGACCTTACCTCGCCTTGGAAACTCCCTCTCGGTGATGATCACTAAGTATTCCCGTTACCTCCCGCTTTGACATCTCTTTACAGATTTACATAGAGAAAATACAAACTAAGTAATGCGTGGTCAGCACACTTTCAAAGTCCACCTGGGTCATAGAACGGACACCCACTATTATCAAGACTGTCCGGTATAGCTATGCCAGAGATCTTCATCACCGCACTTCCTAAACGAGTGAAACTGCAGAGCCCCCCCCCACCCATCTGCTATAGAAACAGATTCACAATGACTGACGTTTTCAAGATCTTCCTGTGGCATTAGCTTGAACTGAGAATGTGAAATGGGATGAAGCAGATAAAACGAAATAACATATTCTTTCCAGGAAGAGGAATCACATCTTTGGTGACAAGCTGCGGCCAAAGCCAAGAGCACCTGCAACTTACAGCCTTTCACACAGGACAAACTCTCTCTCATTCCGAGATGTGTTGGCCACCACACTATGAAGCAGACTCTTATCAACGCAATGTGATTGCGGCCGACATTTCTACTATTTTACTACACTCCGTAGAACACCCCACACACATAACTAGACATCCACACCTTACACGTTCACATGATTCATATCTAAGTTGCTATCACACTTGCAACACAATTACCACAACAGAGCAAGCCCCTGTCAATGGGTTAAATAACAAACCGAGAATGTGAAACGGAATGAAGCTGATTAAAGAGAAAACCACATTCTTTCCAGGAAGAGGAATCACATCTTTGGTGACAAGCTGCGGCCAAAGCCAAGAGTACCTGCAACTTACAGATTTCACACATGACAAACTCTCTCATTCCAAGATGTGTTGGCCGCCACACTATGAAGCAGAAGATTAAAGTCGATACACTGAAAACTAAACTAGAGAACCGACGCCGAGCGTTGGGACGGCTTTCGTCGTGACGCCATCAAAAAAACTCCAAAAGCAGTATAAACACTTGGTGCAACGTTGGGCACGATGCTTCATAATAGACGTCAAGCGTAGCTACGCTGTCGGAGGACGAAATTTTACCGAAGAGCGCCACAAACTATCCCAATATCCTAACTTAACCCAACTTAACCTAACCTAACCTGATTGTTCACATCGGCGATCTGTCAGATCAAATGACGTGGTGACATCAACAGTCTTTTATGCGTAAATTTACATCTTTGCTGGTGAATAAATGGCGGCCACAATCAAGTTTGAGGCATTTCCTCTCTGCTAGCATGTGCCGAGTACCAACGTCGAGGAGTATTCTTAATCGGAACTTTCATCTTCGTAACCCAGTCTTTAAGTATCGAGACAGCTCTTCGGCGCCGTAGTAGACAGGTCACGAGACAATGCCGGTCAGAGGCGTGATACCCCGCAGGTGTGAGCCCGCTGCGCCGTATCTCGGGGTCATCAGTAGTGACGTACATGCTAACAGGATGTGGAAGGAAACGGTCGTGATCAATTCTGATCTTTCGTCCCAGAAACCAGTTAGTTCTGATGTCATCCAGTCTGAAAAACAATCAACAAACAACACTTTTCTATTGTATTCAAAAAATGTAGTATCAACGTTCTCCCGAATAATATACAGTCCACAGATCAGGAGAAAAGCCCTGATAGGAATGCGATATACGGGCATGCGCAAGATTTCGCGGTGAGTGACGAGCTGCTACTAGCCAACCTAAAAGCATTCGTTCCACAACCACTGAAGGAACAACAGACAAAAGGCTTTCATAAGTTCTAATGAGTACGGCTTTATATTGTTGTTCCAGTTGTTCCACATGTTGGCAGTATCCTTCCCAATCCTTTGCAGTCACAGTTGCAATCCCTTCTGTTGTTAAATCCAGCAGCCGCTCAAAGAGAGATCCCTGTCACGTTGTTCTCGCGAACGTAGTTTTTACCTTAGACCATGCTAGTTCTATTGGGCTAAGGTCACACACATATGGAGGCAACCTAACTACAATGTGACCATGGGCGTTTAGTAACTGATCAATTTTGGTTTCCTTGTCCGTATTAGGTCATACAGTTGGCCTTTTCTCATAGCTGGATCGCAGAAAACTCCGTGCCGCTGTAACCATCAGTCCCGCACCTTGAGGGAAACCAGCACGCGATCCAGCGTGAACCATAATCTGTCTTTTTCCCAGCATTTCCATCAGAGCATTCCCCTTTAACTTCCGTACTTTGCCAGCAATTTTTGAAAGTTAAATTGCTGTCTACCCAGCTTTCTTCTAGGTAGAATATTTGTCTTTCTTTATTGCGAAGCGTCTTAGTATTCACTAAATATCTCCCTCGCCAATTTACTATGTCCGGCCTTTCAATCAACATTTTGCGCTTACTTACACATTTCTTCCGCTTACCCTTAGTTATGTAAAATATTCCGTACAGAATCAACACCCATGGAAGGTCAATTTTTTGTTTAATTATGTGCAGTAGCTTGGTACTTTCTTCTGTGTTGCGTAAAATTCTTGCACATTTCCGCCTTATCACTGACACTCCTATCAGTTGGTCTAGGCCGGTGTTTCCCTGGCGTGTGTAAAGGTGACAGTGTGCCCTTCTCGTCTCTATCTTTTGACGGTCGCCGTATATATGTGACTACCTGGTGGTACACCGTTAAGACGGTCACGGCGCCGGGATTTGTAGTGGGAAGACACGGTGACTTCACGGTGGACGGTTACCGTAGAGACGGCACCAATGCATGTGAAAGCTCTCGTATAATCTTCGACCTTTAACCGTGTAAACGGAGCCGTTTGGACGGTCGCCGTGTATGTGTGAAACGGGCCTAATTGCTATTGCGTTCTTTTTTTTAAAAAAAAGAAGAAGAGACCTTCCCCTAACACGACTTTGTTTACATCGCCTCTCATCTTATCTGGAAATAGTGTCGGTGAAATCATATTTTGTACATAAGACATCATTGGTAGAGGTGTCCAGTTTTTAGATTTTTAATATCTGGTCATTCTGTGCAAAAGACCGCTTTCCACAACCATAACACAATAAAAAATGTAAACAAAGGCAGTGCCGCTCCAAACGTTTATAAATGGAGATTGCTGATTGGGTAAAGCCTGCCTAGACCACTAAGGAATGCTCTTATTGGCTGAAATTTGCGAATGCGTAACTTTGTTTGCTGTTCGTTATGTAGGTAAATTGTCATGTCAATAAAAAAAGGGGCCTATGGGAGGCAATTCGTTAAGCGATAATTCTTTAACCGATGGCTTTATTAGGTGGTCGCTGTAAATAGATTTTAACACGGTATCTAACCATGCGAATCACACTTGAATCACCGCGCGCCTTTTTCCGGTTGGCTGAATACGCCCTAATGTCTTCCACATGTTGGTGTTGTAAGCAAAATGTTAGTCATGCGTTGGTATTATGGTGGGACGTTAGTTCTCTTACGTACAGAGTTGATAGTTGACGCGTAATAGATGGTTAGGGTTACTGCACTAAAGTTCGTGTAGGAGGAAAGTGTTGGACGAGGTTTAACACAATTATACAAATGCTGGGAATAGCTAGGAAATGCGTTGTGGTTGGGCAAACCTTTTGGCAAGATCTCCGAAGTTTTTCCAGGACAATTTACGCTCCTGGTAGCTATCAGTTCACGAGTATAAATAATGACGGCAAGAGTGTACATTGTATCAGCGATAGCTCTGCTCGTTTTCACAAAACACACGAACTCAGAAGCATTCCCCGGTGAGTTTATAACATTCCATATTCATTGATGTAAGATGGTCATGTAATTGACGTTACAGAATCCTGCAATATGCCGTATGTAATATTTTCCAACAAGAAAGAACTCTGTTATTTTTAACTTTTTTGTTTGGAAGTCTTCTGTACTTTTCAATAGAATGGGATGGTGACAAAATTCCAAAAGTAAATAGAAACATTTCCCATTTGATAGCAAAAGCTAAAATGTATCTGTTTTTGATGCTGCGTTCTTTTTTATGCATTCTTAAATGGTAAGTAAGTATTGAACATTTGGGTGAAAAAGGCAAAACTTGAAAATTGGTTTGCATGTGGACATTATGTTGTTCATCATCTTCTGTTTCCTTTGCATATAAAACATGAATTGAATTAAAGTCATTCATTTACCAAATCCAGTTTGCAGTTACTGTAAATGTTATACCCATTTGTGTACTGTGCATCTCAGCCTTTAAATCCCTTAATTTCTTCATGCAGTTCTCTGCTACTGTAGAGATGTGAATGTTTCTAGTTTCTTGGTTATTTCTTTATTATTTATGCTATTTGAAGGCCATTGTCAACACTCAGTTCACCAAATATTCCATTAGCAATTAGTGGAACAGTAGCAACAAAAGATGAAAGCAGAGATTTTATGGCCGTTTTCCCAGACATAGTGAGAGATCTGACAGAAACTGGAAGGCATTTGGATATTCCAGATGCAACAAAATGGTTTGCAAAAGTGAGTATGACAGTGAAACTGAATACTTTTTACTCATAGATTTATGTGCTGTTTTTTAACATTCAGTTAATCCATGATAAATGATAGAAAAAGTAGGCAATGTATATTAATGGGACTATTGACATGAAGAAAGACTGAATAAGTGTCATTCAGAAAGTGATTTGTGCTTGGTTTTGACAAGGGTGGTCAGAATTTTACATTTTGCTGTAGACACTAGGTCATTCTGATCTTGTCACACACTTTACCATACACTGCACAGATGACAGATATATGAGAAAATTATATAAAGACATTTTCTGTAGTGGAATTCATGTAAGTTTGTCATCAATGGAACAAAAAGAAAATTGTAACAAATGAGTGTTAGATAATTTTGACTTTATAATAAGATGATTATTAATATAGTAAAGATTTTAATTGCTAGTCTTAATCTCACTGTAGTCTTGTGTGCTGTGTAGATACCTAAGTAATAAAGACTTGAAATGATTTATTATTAAAGTTAATGGGTTTATGCTGCTGTGTTAGTAGGCCATAAATATTTCTACAAATTCTGAATGAAACATTTTAGATGTTGAAAATTACAATCATAGTACTAGAGCAATATTTTGAGGTTGTTTGATAATTATAAAGCCTTATTGGGCAATCAGCCATGTCAGACGTTACTGCTGTTTGCCGAGAGGAGTTTATTTATGACAGCCACTGTGAAAGATTCACATTATATGTTGTTTGACAACTTTACACATTGGGCAGGTGGACACAACTGCACAGAAATGGGTGGTTTAAGATATTTCTTTATGATTTCAGCTAGTGTTTTGTTTTTAAGTTATTAGGAGTTCCATTGCACATACCTTCAGCCTTACAGATCTTGTGTTCTTATGTAATATTTATAGTCCAGCAATGTGGTGCAATTTAGCTTACAGGTAAAAATTATGCTCTTGCACTCATCTTCCCCACATGATGTTTCCTTCATGCTGCATGTTGCTGTCTACAATTAGGACGTTCTCCTCCTGTTTCATTCTTTGCGAGACAGCCCTGTGTGAGAACTAATGAGGGGAAAATTCTGCGCTACAGGTGTAAACAAAGCCATTTACTTTAAACTGTTGCTGTTCGTACTTTAGTTTGGTATGAGTATCAGGTTGTTAGTTGCAATGATGTACAGATTGTCTGAGTAAGTGATACTATGCAGTAGCATATTTAGTGCTCAGCTACTTAGATGTTACTTGACATTGTGGAACCAGAATATTTATCACTATCACAACAAAATCCCACAAATGGGCTATGATGACAGCCAGTTAAGTCTCGTTTACATTCTCACAACCTACTTCTCTAACAATTATTTTAATGTTATCCATGTCTGATCTCTGAAGCGGTCTTAGATAAAGAATACAAATTACAAAGCTCTTACATAAGTGAATCGTGTTTACATTAAAACTAAAATCGTTGGTTTTCAGGTTTTACAGTATAATGTTCCTGGAGGGAAAAAGAATCGAGGCTTGGCATTGGTTTATGCTTATCGGGTGCTGGTTGCAAAAGATGAACTCACTCCAGAAAACATTCGCTTGTCTCAGATAATGGGCTGGTGTGTAGAAATGGTGAGAGAAGATTTAATTCTTGCTTTGAGAGTTTCTTTTGCTGTAATATTTTGTTGTTAAGGTTCTCACAGTGTTGAGTACAAAGATGGCTTTTTTTCTGGGCTGCCTCTCATTTCCCTGATGATAGAGGCAGGAAGGACCTCTTGAAACATTGGTAAACTTATATCAGACTACACAAATCTACAACCTTGAAGACAGCCATCTTCAATAAAAGTAATGTTTGAGAGATGCTGACTCTTATAGACCAAGGTTAGAAGGAATCATCCTGCAATATCTTACTCTTCTTAGGGAATCAGTGATGATTATTATCCATATCCATAATTTGAATAATCACTTTTATGTATGTGCCTTGTAAAGTTACTTTCAAACAGCCCCTGACAGTATATCAATTCATTTTCCAATTTGTGACATCTCCCCAAAACATAGAAATGCTTATGCTAATTATAAGTAGCATACGCACTGATGCATGAGCATCTACTCTTGCATGTGTATGTTTGCTTCTTACAGCTGCAAGCACACTTTCTGGTACTGGATGACATAATGGACAACTCTGTAACTAGGAGGGGTCGGCCATGTTGGTATCTATACAAAAACCTTGGAACTGCTGCAGTGAATGATGGAATCCTCCTTGAACATGGCGTGTACCAGTTGCTGAGACGATATTTACGTGATAAACCGTATTATATCAATGTCCTTGAGTTATTTCATGATGTAAGTTTTATTTGTGTCCTTAAATATAGGGCTAAACCAAGAACTGTTCATTTGGATAGAAGTTTGACATTTAAGAAACTGAGTTGGGTTCACAATTACTTTCATAGTTTCCATTTTAATAGCCTGTTTGGTACTGTAGAATGATTATTAAGGTGTTTGAGCTGTCAGCAGAAAGGTTTAGCCCTAGTATTGCAAACCTTATTTTTAGTTTGTTAGATCAGTTTCATAGTGCATTCTGACATTCAGCCCTCAATTTGAATTGTACTGAATGTGCTTATGTCATGCAAACAACAAGGTACATATGATTATGTGGTGAAGGCATAATCCATGGAAACTTGTGTTTCTGAAATCAGAGAGTAGACTATTCTTCATGAAATGAAGAAATGAGGGTTGTTGAAAGTGCATGAGATAAAATTCAGCCATTGCTATAACAAACTTTAAAACCAGCTGAGTGGATGACATGTTGATATGTCACAATCTATTTTTATTGTAGTGGATATGATGTTATGCATGTCTTGCCATATGCATTATCTCAACCACACCAGACAAACCAGTTTTCCAGGATCAGCAGATAACCAGTACATGAGAGAGAGATACACACACATGTTGTAGATAGAAATATCATGCTTCAGTGCTTTTCGTTAAGTATGAATATATAATTCAACAAGTATTGCAAGGAGAATTTCTGTTACTAAAATGGTGTCTCAGTCAAGAACCTACCAACTTAAATTGGTCGCCGTACTATTTGAAGCATGTTGACAACTCCATGCATCAGTGTGGTCCATGTGATGGTCTGCAGGCCATATCTGGCATAAGACCACTTGTAACCAGGCCTGTAGAATTATTTTTTAATTTCTTGCTAGTTGTTATAAGGTCATTTATTTTCTTCACTCCAAAGATTCTTATCATGTCTACTGTTTTACATGCAAGTGCCACCTGTGTTATTTTAAAACACTACCATAAATGTAAGTTTTCCTGGTAAAAATTATTATGTGCAAGCTGTTGCAGGAGCAAATAAAAAAATGATTTTGTTACTCAAAAGTAATTTGTACATATACTATGATATAGCACAGCAACTTTGTGCAGAATCCTCTAAGAGTGTGTGTGTGTCTCGCACGTGCATGCATGCAAACTGGATTGGTCTTACTTCTAATTCGGGATGTGAATTATTGTTGCTCCGCATACATAATACAGTCCTTGTCTTTGTCCTACTTTTCTACATCAGTTTTTGGCCAGAGAGGGAATATGTCGAGCACTGCTGATGTCTCAGCTCATCTGTGAAGAGGAGAGGAAAATTTGTAACAGTGGCAAGTACACTGCCTAACAAAATGGGATTGTTACTGCAATTGAAATTCCTACTTTTATACAATGCAATGCAAAAACTAAAATTGCACATTTCTCTGCAGCAAAAAAAAATTGATCTATTTTGTACCTAGAACACCAGTGTCCTTGTCATCATCAGCTTCTTGGCCATAAATGAAGGAATCACTACGGTTTGCTAGGAATCAATTATATAATTTTAGAAAATGGATGTGATTTACTGCACCTTAGTCCATACAATCTCATTTAAAATCCTGTAGAATTGTTTTGGGAGGCATAAAAAATAGAATTGCATGTCTACAAATTTGATGGAAAAGCAGATGTTTTGCAAAAATAGTTTTTGCTGCGTACACAAAAGTAAAATGGCAAAACCGTTGTTCCCATATGAAGAAATGAGAAAGAAAATGTTGGCATTGAGCTGGCTTAATGGATGCAGCAATGGACAACATGATTATTTACTCAGGAGAGCTTTAAGATTATACAAGCACAGAAAAAGGACAATTCTGTAGTTCATCCAAAGACAAATGTTCAAATTTCTGTTTGTTTTTAACTTAAGTTATATTTCTTTTTAATAGCATGTTTTGTGTACTTTTGTAGATAGAATATCATACACATATCAAGAAGCATTTGGGGTAACTTCATCTTAAGTGTAATATTTGTAAGTGTCATCTTGGATCTTTCAACCCATCTTTCAGTTTCATAGTTATAACAAAATTAAATGTATCAGATTCCATTTTGTTCCGTGAAGAGTTGGGGCAGTTCCGTCAGTAAAGTGACTGACTATGGACTGGATGACTGGGGTTCAATCCCAAACAGGGGCAGACAATTTTTCCTTTAGCCTCTGTGCCAGACCAGCTCTAGGGCCTACCCACATGCTGTCCAGTGAGTACCAGGTTCCTTTCCCTTGGGGTAAAATGTGGTTGGAGCATGACACTGACCACTCACCCCTATCTAGTGCCAAGGTTAAGAATTAGTAGGAGCTATGCCTCCTCTCACCCTGTAATAGCGTGCCCTCTAGGTTCAGCGTGATGTTAATGCACTATAATTTGTCATTTGTGAATAAGTACTGTTAAAAATAATGAAATTTGGTTGTTTCCAAAAAGAGTGCCAATGAGGGGTTTCTTTGCCCTCGGTTCCAGCAGGAAAGCTATTCTTGGCCTGAGAGAAGAAAGGTGTAGGACCACCCTGCCATACATGATTCATCAGCTATAGCTAGAACCTCAGTTGTGTATGTTACAGGGGCAAGGGACTGACATTTCTCAGTGTTCTTACACTGTTCACCTGAAGTACACAGTTTACAAAGTTTCCCTGTCTGTGAGATTCTTTAATTCTGTCTTCTTTCTTGCCACTCAGAATTGCATGTTCTTTTGTAATGGTACTTAAACTGTACGTGCTGAAAGTGCTGACTTCTGTTACCCTCACTGTATTCTGGCCATAATAGATTTATTTATTGAATTACAAATTATATAAATAAAAAATAAATCAATAAATGTGTTGATTGTCACATGTTTAAAAATTAGAAAGAAGATCAAAATATTCAAACTATTAGTACAGTGCACATTTATGTGAAATATAACTCAAAGAAATTTTGTTTTCTGTTTCCATTCAGGTGGCCTTAAAAACTACAATGGGCCAAACCCTGGACCTCCTGTCAACACAGTTTGGTTCAAAGCCAGTTTTGGAAAAGTTCACAATGGACCGGTACAGTTCCATTGTGAAATACAAAACAGCATATTACTCATTTCATTTGCCTGTTGCCCTTGCGATGTATATGGTATGTATAATTCTGATGTTGAGTGTGGTGATTTATCTTAATTTTATTTTCATAGATGTAGAATTCGAAGTTTTCATGGTGGTAAGTCTGAAGTTCGCTGTCTCCTGGGTTGTTGTGTCTTGTAGTCTGGTAGAAGATTACTGACGTTTCAGAGGTCTTTGCTGCATCCATCATCAGGGCGATGATGAAGGAGGCAGGATGACCTCTGAAATGTCGGTAAACTTCTACCAGACTACACAGTGCAACAACCCAGAAGACAGCCATCTTCACATATGTACCCTTTTTTATTATCATTACATAGTAAGGAATTTAATTTTTATCAAATTCAGGTAACCCTCGATTTGCGCCGATTTTGAAACCAGCTAGTCAAAAAGTGAGAAATATATATTTTACTATTACTTATAACGTTTTACAATGTTTATCTTAATGATTCTTATACGAAATTGTAATTCTTACATCGCTCATTTTCAATAAAAATTATAATTCAGTCATCTCTGCAATTACAATGTTTCGTTAACGCGAATTTGCTCCAATGAGATCGATGAATCGGTAAAAGCTGTTTGTGAAATGCAAACTTTTGCATATGCGAGTTTGCTCTTATCAAATTTAATTCCTGGCGCTTTAAACTTTTGAAGGACTAATTTAATCTCTGCGGAGGTACCAGGGTTATTTTTACTACGCGATTTGCTATTGGTCGGCGTCTTACATGAATGAAACTGTCGCATAACAGCAGAGATGACTGTGCACATCAGTCACAAGAAAGAATCGCGGGGACCAACGAATTGCCGATTGTAAGTGAATAAAATATATTTTTTAGATTCCCTTTATTTTATTTAAGTTATTTCAGAGCTTTAAATGTAATGTCATTATATTACTCATGAATGTTTGGGTGCTGGGACTTCCCATTGAATTACATAATAAAAAGAGTTTCAATTTACGCCGGTTCGTCCAGGAACGCACCCCTGGCGTAAATTGAGGGTTACCCGTACTGGTCTAAGTTTTTGCCCACTATTTTAATTATTTCCATTGTCATACTCCTCGAAATTCCTCTTGCATTCCACTCTAACAATTTTAGAGATGTATACTTTTGTCTGTTAAAACTATAATTGTATTATTGTTTCAAATTAGTCACCACCTAGAGATCTGATTGGAGGAATGTTTATAACTCCACGTTATTGTGCTTAGGGTACTATGTTTTTCTTTTTTCTTGGATAGCATTTGTAGACCATTGACTCAGTGTCCAGAGGACATTTTATATAGGCAGCCTGTGTCATGTCGCTTGTCTCAATACATTAAGCTGTAATAAGCCTGGCATAATTGATTCTCTTGTTATTTAACTATGCCTTTTCAGCAGCATTGGTTTTTTGGGTTGAATAGTATGATGATTATTAGTAATGGATACTCATGGCTTACTTTAAGGTACTATACTAGGACTGAGGAAAACCACAAACAAACTTGTGGGCTGAGATTTGAATGTGGAACCTCCTGAGCAGAGGTGTGCTAACCACTCGATTGTGACTTCAGTTGTTGGTTTACATTGTTATTCCAGTTTAATGAGTGGTGCAAGTTCATTGTCTTAGAGTATTTCCTGGTGCATGTTGGATTAATGTGTAATAAGGCCTTTGTAATTATTATAGTTTAAATTTATCTTAAATTTTAAATCAGTAAACTTGCATAAATATAATGGCTTTCTTTAAAAGATTCACGTGTGCATAAATCTTTGCTCTGCTTTTGGTTACATCACTGTATCTGAATTAGTCATTGAAATATGACTGTTTTAATTAAAGAAGGCAGGAACACAAAACTATACATTTAATTGTGCCAAAGTTACTGTGTATGGTACGTTTAAGCTTACAACATTACAGAGACAAATATCACAAGACTCATTTGTCTGTACTCACCTGATATTGTTCAGGGTGATTAAATTGAGGAGGATGAGGTGGGCGGGACATGCAGAACCCGTGAGGGAGCGGAGAAGTGTTTCCAAGTTATTGGGTAGGAGGCCTGAAGGGAGGAGACTGCTGGGAAGACCTAGATGTAGGTGGGAGGATAACGTTAAGATGGGCCTTGGGGAGACAGAAATCGATAGAGCGAACTGGTTGCAGGTAACTCAGGAAAGAGTCCAGTGACCTTTTGTGAACACAGTGAGGAACCTTTGGGTTCTATAAGGAAATGGGTTATTCTTTGACAAGCCAAGTACATGGTCAACTTTCCAAAGAATTTTCTACATCAGAGTGAGTGAGTGAGTGTCATAAACTTGGAACTCCTTATCAAGCTTTGGTGTAATATTCTGTATTATAAATTGGTATTTGCTCTATTTTGTTTTTTAGGCAGGTTTTATGGATGAAGAAAGGCATCGCCAAGCAAAGACCATTCTTTTGGAAATGGGCCACTTTTTCCAAGTCCAGGTATGAGGTACTATTTCTTATCCTATGCTGTGTGATTGTGGAAAGGCAAGCTGGGGTCTTACATAAAGTCTGGAAACTGAGTCATTTAAAACACTTCAATATTTCTTCTTCAACACCATGGTTTAGGCCATAGGCCTGTTCAGACTTCAAGGGTGAAGAATTTAAATGTAAGTATTCTATCCAGCATGTTCTTGGTCTGCCAAAATTTATTTTCCCCCAGTAGGGTTACAAAGAAGGAGTTGTTTAGTTAGTCTGTCTTTGTTCATACGTAGTAGTACTTAAGTATTTTGAAAGTTTTTATATCGATCCAATTAGTGTGCTGAAATCAGGAATGTAGAATATTGATTCACAGCATGTTCCTTTTGTACAAATTTTCAGCCTTCTTTTAATCCAGTGTTGGTAATGTATTATACACTGAATTTTTGTGTTAAATTTTACATACATACACAATGAATCACAGCTGCTTAGATGGTGACAGGAAGTTTACAGGAGTCAGACTCCTCAAGTAAGTGTTACATTACCTCTTTGCATGTTGTGTTGTGATCTTGGTCTCCGTAAGAAAGAAGAGTGTGAATCATTCATTTAGTGCTTTCTCATCACAACAAAGGTATGAATAACTAGTATATAGGAGTACTTACGAACCATTGTATTTAAAACTTAACGCACTAAACAAAAACAAGCAAGTGCTCTGAAGAGAAGGATTTAGTTACAAGGTAATTGGATATACTTTTGAAAGCTGGCCATAGGAAATCATTTAATCAATTATGGAATAATTAAATGTCTTGTAAGATGGACAGCAAGCATATATAACTTGTATGACTGGTGTGTAAACTCAGTGCTGCTTTGTTCTGTTTTGCTTTTGTTTTTGTAAGAGGTGAGATCACTCAGTTAGTATAGTGTCTCTGCTGTATAGCTACGGTATGATACTTGACAGGGCAGGACTTTTCTCTTCACCACAGTGTTTTGACTGGCTCTGGGGCCCACACGGCCTCCTATCCACAAGGTATGTGGATTCTTTTGCTCATGGTAAAGTTGCCACAGCATGAAACTGACCGTTCGCATTTATTTTGTACTGGGTTTAAAAATGCGTGGAATTCTGCCTCCACTCCCCTACATGCATGCATGTGTGGTGTTTAAAGTAAACACCACAGACAACATTACCTTTTACCTTAAAGAGGACACTGTTTAAATGTTGTATAATAATTGTTATCATTAAGTATGCCATACTGTGAATGTTTCTAAATCTGATATTTATGCACCACACCTTGATGTGTTCCACATCCTCATGATTATAATATACTACCATATTATCTCATAGGATGATTACTTGGACTGTTTCGGAGACCCGGAAGTCACTGGTAAGATTGGCACTGATATTCAAGATGGAAAGTGTACTTGGTTGGCAGTAGTTGCATTACAGCGGGCTACTCCTGAGCAGAAAGCTTTATTTGCGGTAAGACTGAAATGTTATCTCAACATTACATGCACTTAGTTATGCTAATATTAATTTTCTGTGTAATATAGTTATTTCATTATTGCCCCACACTTATTAAAAATTCCTTTACACCATTTTCCTCTTAACAGTCTACAGTTTCCCCACCCCTTTTTGTGTGATTCAAGTCATAGCTCCCATATATTGTATTATATAATAAAATAAAATATAATACATTGTTTGTCCCATGAGCCGGGATAGCTCAGTCAGTATAGTGACTAGCTACGGGCTGGGCGATCGGGGTTTGATCCCTGACATGGGCAGAGGATTTTTCCTCTAGCCTCTGCGTACAGAACGGCTCTGCGGCCCACCCAGCATCCTGTCCAATGGGTACCAGGATCCTTTCCTAGGGGTAAAGCACGGCCGGGGCGTGATGCTGACCACTCACCCCCATCTAGTGCCGAGGTCAAGAAAGTGTAGGAGCTATACATCCGCTCCCCCCAAGTGCCTGCATAAGTATGTAGCGGGACACTTTACTTACATTGTTTGTCCCAGTTTAGTGCTTGTTGGTCTAAAGGTATTGCTTCCATTGTATGAATGAAATTTGTGTCTGTACATGAAATATCTGGACCCTGGTTCAGTCTTCATGTGAACACAGCATGCACAGTTTGTCATCATGACTAATGAGTCTGAAACCACAAGAAATGTGTAAAGTATTTTCCCCCCTTCCTGATCGCTAAAGTCACTTCCTCTGCCGCCACCACCACTTGGTAAAGCCACATGACCTGATGAGGCCATCATTTGTGAGTTTACTGTGGAGTTCAAAGTTTATGCTTGTGGACCTATTGTAAATTACCATGTATGAATTTTTGTCATATGCAAGTCCTACATTTTGAAAGTGTTTTTATAACTAAAGCAGTTCCTTCTTGTTTCATTTGTATATGACCCCCATTTACGATTTTTCTCATTTTAAGGTACCAAATGCTTGATCCTCCAGGCAAATCATAAGTGGGGGGGGGGGTCACTGTAGAAATAAATGGGCTGTAGCAATAGTGGAACGGCATACTTGACAACCCTGGGTAGCTTTAGTATCATTTCACTCTTAACCAGGGTGCCACTTAAGGTTGCTTGACACAGCACTTTGATGAAGACAGCTTGAAGCTATTTCGTCATGTCCTGACGTTGTCATATCTATCTTTCAATGGGCACTTCTGTGAAGACACTAATGGAGTGGCCATGACTTTACTTGTGTCCCCTGTGATTGCTAACTTCTTAGGGCTTAGAAGAAGAGGCACTCAAAAGGCCCACCCACAAACCTCTCTGCTGATTCAGATACGTGAATCACACCTTTGTGATCTGGCTCCATGGATGGGATAAACTGGGCATCTTCCTCCTTCACCTTAACACCATCCATAACATACAGTTGACCATGGATGCTGAGAGAAATGGCCACATCCCCTTCCTAGACAGATGTTTGCAGGAGACTATATGGCTCCTTGAACATTTATACCAAATTTTGTGAAAATTGATTAACTGATTCAGAAGTTGAAAGGGGGACACAGCATAAACCTACTCTCTCTTCATAAGAAAGGAAAACAGGCACAAATGGAATCATTTGTGGGAGATGTTTTAGTTGTTGGTGAATTGTTAACTTTTGAAGCTACTGAAGCTTACATTTCATTCATTATGTTATTGTAAACACTTTCACAAGTATCTTTATTTTTGTGTATAACTGGTGTTTCATTCCAATATAATTTTACAAATGTTATATAGTCCATTTCTGAAAACCTTGTTGTCTCATTCTCAGCTTATTAAACACTTTCAGCAATAATAAGTAATGCCTCACTCAGCCAGTGCATTTGATATACTAATCAGCATACTGATGTAATTACAGGAATGATAAAACAGTAACTTACCTCATACAGCAGAGTCCTTGAGAAGTTGATAATGTGCTCAGCTAGTCAAGAAATTCCCTGCCTTTATGGAACTCTAATGTTCATTATCATGTTCACAAAAGCCTTCCACTGGTCTATCCTTAGCTCAGCAAAACAGTTACGAGCTGAGGTTGGAGGTGTATGGGATATACATTGAACTTGAGGGAGTGTAGTTTAAGAATAAAGTTAAACACCTTGTGTGAACACTTTCAGAACAATAGTCTCGAGTATTTCAGTTACTGTATGTTGTAACTAAGAATCTAAAATCAACTGTAATGTGATGTAACATCACATGTTGTTGGCTATCTTCTTTGCTGTTATAATTGTAATGTTGTTTTGCTAGGATTGCTATGGGTCAAAGAATCCAGAGAAGGTTGCAGCAGTGAAGGAATTGTATGTACAGTTGGGCTTACCATCTACATATGCTACATATGAGGAAGAGAGCTATAACATCATTAGTACACACATTCAGCAAGTATCACGTGGAATGCCCCATAAGTTATTTTTCAAATTCATGGAAAAGATATATAAACGAGAATGCTGAGGGGCGTGCCCATTACGTCAGATGCAGAATGAGCATGTACGTATAAATAAGGCTGTTGAACACAACATTTCAAGTTACACAGATGTATTATCAAATAAATTGATCCAGTACATTTTTCAACCTTATATGGCCATTTTCAGGTGGTTAAATATGTTCTGTTTAGCTTATTGCTGATTATTACAATATGACTATTCTAACATATCAGTTAAGGATGTAGACGTACAGAACAAAGTTAGTTGCAGTGTATAGTGCACATATATGAATGATAACAAAGATCTGAGATGCAGTTTATCTTGTTGAAATTAACATTGATTGAAATAAATTAAGATTAAACATAAATTTTACTAATGTACTGAGGTGTATGTAAATACTTTGATAAACATTCACTACAGTATTAAGTATTTAAGATTGATAAATGTGATCAGAGATGGTGTCATTACACAGTTAAAATAAATTTTTGTCATCTATTTGGCAACTGTCTGCTTTCTCCTACCATGGTTAAATACAATATACCGGTCTCCAAAAAAGGTGTATATGCATTTTAATATGGAATATTAACCTTGTGTGTGTATTTTATCACCTGAAGATGGTGGAATAAGAGATTGGAACATGTTATAGGTCATTAAATTTGAAAATATAACTGGGTATTCAAATTGTGTTTGGTGCCCTTATTTGCATGTGTGTGTGTTTGAACACAGAGGATGCTGATCAGAAAGGTGATATACTAGAGTAGAGGTGTAAACAGATACTGAAAGGAAAGTCATGTCATCAGTATATACTAAATTTCTCTTGGTTAATCACCTACATCATAGCTGAGTTAAACACTTGTGGTTCACTGACCTGATGATGCAGACAGAGCAGGTCTATGAAATGTTAGTTTTTAACTCATCTTTGGAATTGGCTGATCACCTTAAGAGGATTTTAGTGCATTTATTTTATGTGAAAGTTTGAGATGTTACAAATTAGCTGAAACCATCAAAATGCAGCCTTAAAACCTGTGGTTAGTGTTTATTGCCTTCACCAATCATGTTTTAGTATATGTATAATCAGTCATCAGGGGCTCGTAAACACCCACACTACACTACAGCCAATCCACTGGTCAGGGATCTGCTCATTCAGGTATGCCACCATGTAACTGCTGAAATGTTGGGTGCACCATTATGCTGGAAGTACAATTATAATCCTGTTTTTTGTATGTTCAGATAATTTTTAAATTCTATCCACAGCTCTTAACTATTTAGAAGCAGACCCATATTCATGTGACATTTCTGACTAGGAATGACTTCAGGGAAAAACCAGACACCTGCATGTCATAAATTTGACTTCCATAAACCTCCCCCCTTTTTTGTGGCTGGTTTTCCTCTTAACTGTATTTCTCCTTATATTTTGAGTGCTCCATATTACCTCTTGTTGCCTCCAATATGCTCTGTGCCAGTATACTCTGTGACATTTTATAGTCCAGACATGTCAGACTGCATATCCTCCATTTTGAAAGCCTGCTTGCAAGATTTTTTGTTATACTACAGTTGGTAATTTAAACATACTAGGCTAGATAACAGGTCAAGGTATAAGGTACATATATGATGGTAGTAGTGCACATATGAACACTTAGTCTCTAGGGTGAGAGCTTCTGGCAGGATGAGGAGAAACAGACATTACTGAGGCAGAAGAAGACATAAACCATATATTATAACAGTAACAGGAGTTGGTGTATACACACACACATACATATATATATATAAAGAAGGATTCAACATCATTAGATTGGCATTGAACTTTCAGTAGTGTTCTGTGGGTGCTTATGAGCCCCTGATGATTGTTTGTACACACTGAAACATGATTGGTGAAGGCAATAAACACTACTTACAGCCATTATGGTTGTATTTTGACTGTTTTAGGTTATGTAAAATACTAAGTATATACAGTTGTATGAAATGATCAAGTTTAATCTTAAGGCACTTCAGATACTGTTAAAGTCTTCAATATTGTGACATAATTAGTGATTACATATTGGGTTCTTTGTTTAAAGACAAGATCAGTTTATTTCACAGCATTACAGTTGATTATTTTCAGTATTAATTTCGCTCGCTTACAAATCTGTCCTGATTATCCAAATATAAATTTTCTCCTATATATATCATAATAATCACTGTACTGAGCTGTGTCACTCAGCTGGACGTGCTAATCAGTTACTGTCTTGCTTGTAATTGCTTGCTGCTCCATCTTCATCCAACTCTGTGCACCAAATGATTATGTCTCTCCACTCCAGCTACCTTTCAAAGGGGCACAGTAAGTTTGAAAACAAGTGCATCACAGTAGCTCTGAAGTTACCAGTCCCTCAATGCTGATTGACATTGACAACACGCTGGCCGCAGGGGGTGTGAACTAGTATATGTATTCCATTCCTAGCCATTAACTTAACTTCCCTCTTAACTGGGTAATAAATTTTACTAGCAGGGAGGTCATACATTTAAATCTTTCTGAAGTACAGTGTGTGTGCATGAGTAATGGTTTTAATGGTTTCGGTAATTTACAAAATTGAAAGCTAACTAACATACCTATCATAAATTGAATTCTGTGTGGAAACAGAGGACCACATCATACAGCACTTGTGTTCATTGCCCTGTTACTTCCCTTTTGAACACACAAAGTACTGCCAGCATTATTTTCCTTCTCTTATTTTTAGGTCAAGATAGTGGCATCTGAGGAGTCTAGAGGGCTTTGTTTTCTTTGAAGGTTACCCTCAGTAAACACATGGCCATTGTAGCTGACTGCTAAACTTTCTCCAGAAGTCACTAAATTGTTCAGCCTAGCTCACGTTCAATCATTTTTCTGTACACGGTGAATATATTTAAGGGAGGCCAAGTCAAGCATATAACAGAAATTCTATTGATATTTTTTCAAGAAATCCATTAACATTTTATGCGTATGGAGTTGGCCATCTTTTTAGTAAATGCTGTGAATGGAGCTCATAATGGTTTCCTCCACATTTCAAGAGCATGTTTTGTTTCTGAAGGCCATCTCACATTTCTCTCTTAGAATTTGATTTAATTATATTATTTGGAATCCATTTTTGAGTCTCTCATTCTTACAGTGCAGTTTGCTAATTCTGTACTTGTGTTACTAGTCATCTGAATATAATCTGTACTACCCCTTGTGCAGTAGTTGATTCATGAGTGCAGCACAATTCTTGTTCTATACCGGCTAAGTAACATGTTAATCACTTATATCAGTTCATTTTCCAGTATGGCTAGAGTATGGGTTTGTTTGATCAGTAATGCTTTGCAGTATATCCACACCAAAAAGAAGAACAGTTTTGTTAACATTCACATTTACTTGTACATCACTTTTTGGAAAAGAAGGAAATCCTGTATACTCTTTACCTCTTGCAGTCTGTTCATCAACTGTAACCTCTTCTTAGTTGGCAGATACACTGTCATTCTGGTCTGTTTCTGTCCCTGCCTGGCATAATTTTCAGTATTTTCTTCTGAAGGGAGACCAGGCTACTGTTTAGTCACTTTTTTCAGGTTCCCTGAAGTGTTTGCAAAAATACCATTACTCAAGTCTCATCACCAGAAATAAAATGGAAAGATTATTACTGCGACTTCAGTAGCATTATGTTGTCAGCATAATGTATGATATTAATGGACTATAATGCTTAAAAAGTAATTTCTTTTATTATAATCTTCAGTTTCCTACTGTACCTCGAGCTTTACATATTTAATATGTCTGCTGTCATTCTTTCTTTTGACAGTTTTTCGCTGTGAAATAAATGTCTGATCATACTTTCCTTCTTTGTTTCAGAAGTCCTTACTTCGTACATGTTTTTTTTTATTTTCTCACCAGTTTAATGTTATGTTTGTACTATCCATTTACCTCCAGCAGTTAACATTGTGTGAAATGGTCATAATTGTCCATTAAGAGTGCTATTATGAATCACTTTTATACCTATATTACTAATACAATAATATTAATTTTTTACATTGAAGTACAATTATATGTTCACAAAGTAAGATATGAATTTATGATGTACAGCTCATGGTGTTCATTAACTAAAATCAAAATGCATGCACAGAAAGTAGCAGAAGCAAGAATACACTAAATCTTACTACATAATTTCCAGCCATGCTGAAATGGTGGCACATATTTCTAACTTGATTGGGCTGTCATAAACAGGTATCATTGTAATTTAAACCAGTGATTAGTACAGAGTAGGAAGCACTGACAATCTGGTAAGGAATTCATTTATTAACATCAATGAATATAATGGGAAGTGCTTTGTAGACGGGCAGAAGAAACCTTTAACAGCAATCTTAACTGTATCTAAGAGGATATGGCCATAAAGTAACGCATAGTAGAGGTGTCTTAATTCTGTTCTCATTTGCTGGATTTTTAAATATGGGTAAAAGACAACTTCTATATTCATACGTTTATTTTACAAATATACACATGTAATTACATGTTTTCACAAACACATCCGTCTTTCTGACTCAACAGATAAAAGGTTTATGAACCCACAGTCACTACATTTCATTAAATGCTGAATATACTGAAATTCATAGAGCATAAAGAAACATGTATTTCCTTCCTCTCTGTAGACTGCCAAATAGAAGTGATAACTTTGGTTTATAATGTCACTTTAAACTGCACATAAATGTTTTTAATAATGTACAAAGGATGAAGACCATTGTGATAAAAATGGTGCTAGTTAAGGTTACATTCTCCAGCACTGCTTTATTTCATGTCTCCTTCATTACTAAGTACAGTCTGAAAGCCAACAGACATATTTCCAGTCAAGTCATTCTTATTACTGCAGACCCTTTAACACTTCTGACACTGACCTCAATACACCCTACTTACTCCTGGCTGCCATATGCTAACATCAGTTGAAGAGCCACTGACCTATGTAGCATCTCACTTAACCCATTCTTGCTCGCATGCCTCTGCTGTTACTCGGAATGTAATTACATGGCTTCATAGATAAGGCTCTCACGCCTAGTATTCATTTGTGAATTTTTTTTAAGCCATCATTTGGTGGCTTTATTAGTGTTTAAATAATGGTTATGAGTGGAAAAAAATTTACCAGCTTCTTTGCGCTCTGAATTTGCCATTCATAAACATTATAGAATGCAAGGATATAGTAGTGTAGTCTAAACACTTCCATTTGGTGTATGGATAAAAATATGTTTGACTGTAAATATAAAAGTTATGCTTCTAAATGTGCTTCATATCACTGCTTGGAGTTATAGTTTATTAGTCTTTGTGCTAAAAATAGATGTGCTGTCATCTCATGGGTTTCAATAATATAATTACAACATAGACTAGCCTAGACAGCCATGCTGAACTGTGAAATTCTGCATTGTTTTATTAAAGTTTTGCATTATGGGATCTTAATATTTAAATGTCCTGTGATATCAACGGATTAACATTCATCCTGCTAATCAAACTAACGTCTTCCAACCTTAAAATGTTCGTAATTATACTGCAGTGATGTTGCTTTATAGCATACCATTTTACTACCTAGAAATGAAACATCCAAGATCACATATTCAACACTTAAATAATTACAATGGATTTGGAATGTTAATAGTAACATTTTCCAACCAGAACTACAAATTTAGAATCCTGGAAACTACAGATGTATGGACAAGTGCCTGGATAAGACTTTCAAATAATTTTGCTTCCATTCAAGTTAATGAGTCAACTCTAAATTATTTACACAGAAAGTAAGCTAATTCATTAAATATGCAAATATTGTAGCATTTATTGAGGACTACAATTTTACTTACTTGACTGAAGCACATGTGCAGACACTAAACAATGATTAAATTTGATTCAATTATAATTCTTTGTACTAGGAAACAGTATCATCATCACACCTATTAAACGCTTATCATGTATAACATGGTAAAGGCAGCAAATGCGCTGCTTGCCAAAGCATTGGACCACACTCAACACTACATAATTTATATCAGAAAGCCAAAATTTTACATTAAAATCTGGCTATATAATCCCAAGGACAGATGTGCTTCTTGTTTCAAAACTCTATTATTAATATTATGCATAGAACAGCTGCCTCTCAAAGATTTCCAATTGTTTCCTCCCTCATCTACTCAGAATAGTGAAAAGTTAACTTACAGCAAATTATTATTATTATTAAATGTTTTTCAATAAATTAATGCATTTACTAAAAATATATATCATTTTTAAACTCAAAAAGATGTTTAATAAGTAAATGAAAGAGGTTTTAGTTCAGCAATAAACAAACAAAATTTATTATTAAAATAACATGTTTCCTCTTTGCCGTTATTGTAAAGTTCACCGGGTGATGACAAAACAAGTGTCCATATTGGTAATATTGAACTGGCTTCACAGAAACTTGTGAATAAGTATAACAGATTTTATGTACAATTAAAAAGAGATAAATGTAAATGATTACACCACATCTAATTTACACAATTTATTCCCATTCAAAGTTTGAACATGATAAGTCATTGAAAATGTGAATATTATACACCAGAACAAAAATTATAATGTTAATAGTGATCATTTTACCAAAGCTATAATATATATTGAGAGGAAGTGGAACTTTTTATAATGTTTTTAAATTAAAACTCCACACATATCTGTACAGTACGTTAAGAATAGCACATCCATTGCAACTACCTTTAATACTTTGAATATGGATGTTACGGTAAGCTTAATATATCAACAAACTTCCATGCACTGGAAACTAGGCGTGACCAATGATATGAGAAATCCTAAAGTACTCTTTCTAGTCTACTGTCCCACATAGGATATTTCACCAATCACTAGCAACACTGTACAAAAGAACGTATTCTGGAAGATCGTATTCTTCATATTGCATATGCAGAATACTTGCATTTTAATTTGTCAACTACATTTTAATTTCGTAACAGTCTGGAATCTTTACAAAGCTGCTTACTGAAATTTAGGGAATTACATATTCATAGATGAACGACTGTTGACATAAAACTGATGGCCTGATATAACCAATGTAAAGATGTAAAGACATGCTGCAATCCAACAGTTATATGCATTCTGAAACATAAAATACACTCGCATAATAATAATTTACTTGGCTGATATGCAGATGAACAACTATTCCTGAACATAACATGTAATTTATTTTGACCTAATTGCCTAATTTCATTGCAGTGCAGAGTATGAATCTACAATGCAGTAGGGGTATTTCAACACTTTTGCTAATTATGAAACCCAACTTGGCACTGTCACTGAACAATAAAGATGAGGTATCACAAGTTCCCAGAATGCCCACATAGACATAGCATTGAGTAGCATGCACAATAACTAAGCACTGACATGTCTTGGTTATGGAAAAAAAAGCAGCAATAGTGAAGGACCGACAGTTACACAAGTGTTTTTTTTTCTGGCAGAAAAATGACTGGTGGTTTCTTGGCGCTATGCATTAACTTCAAATTTTGTGCAAAGTTAGGTGAAAACATGAGTGAAACTCTGCAGATGTTAACAGAGGCTTGTGGTGCTGATGCTATGAAAAATTAAGTTTAAACTCATAATCTGGAATCTACAGAACAAAAATTCCATTAATAAATGTACTGCACTTCAGCCTTCATTGCAAGCAGACACCATATTAACTGCATAACATGTGAATATATTATTCGAATGATGACCTAGATTTTGTGTTCCTCTGAACAAGCAATTTTCATGACCTTCTACAATCAACAGCATTGTTATACAATCAAACACGTAAGCCTAAGTACATACTTGTATGTAACCTCTATCAGCAATCTTATAGAAATCTTCTGGTGATTCAAAACCGCCTTCGCTTTCAACACCAGGGAGATCTTCAGATAATGCTATGCTTTTCACATAATAAAATATGCCCATTAATACCTGTAAAATAAATATTATTGTATAATGCGCTCAGAATGTTTGCACTTCCGTGCGATCAAGAAAACTAGAAATCCACTACTACTACTACAACTAATAATAATTATAATATCCATTAGCATACCAACTGAAAGATACCCCACACACTAATTATTAGTCCACACAGGGAGAGCTTCGGACCGCAAATCTTCATTCCTCTAATTAAACGGAAGGGTCTCAAAAAAACAAATCGTCGAACTATAACAATCACCCAAACGTGACCTAACTACCACTCACTTGTTCTCATGTGACGTGTAATCTCGAACTCAATCATAAGCTTGTTGGAAATGAAGGCGTATATAAAATTATGAACGGCGAATGAAATGCGAATATAATTTATAGTGTATAATATATATGAATATTATATGAACGTTTTGATTAAATTTCATTAGCTCAATAATGAATGATGTGGTGCGTATGTGATTCACGTTCGGAATCTGTGAATTGGTTCATGGTGAATCATGGTTGATAGACTTGGTAAGTTTTCTAAATGAATTTAATTGTTGTTACAGGCTTACTTAAACAATATAGTTTTCCTAAATATATTTTTATATTAATTTGTTTTGTTTTTTTGTATGTGTGTGAACTATTTAAATCGATTGTCAAGAAACATGGTTCAGTGATACGTAGATCGAGAATGTTATGGTTTAGATTTCTAATTGCCAAGAGTATTTAGAGTGATCTTGTTTTGCATCTCTCGTTCAGAGCTTATTTTTAACCACAAGACAAATTTATGTATCCTCTATTAAAAGTACTTCACATAAAGCGTGATATACTCTGAAGATATGGTGGATCCCTAGATCTTCTGAGGTTAGGCGACGTTATTTCGTGGTCCACCCTTTTAACTTCACTTACGAGGTACATTTTCGTAGCGATATGAATGTTCATAAATGTAATTGAAGTAATTACAGTTGGAATGGAAACCCATTATTTATCCAAATTGCTCGTTCTATGCACTTATACCAAGATTATCAACGGCAGCAGAATGTGGTGTATGTAGAATTATGAATAGTTTTAAAATTCTAATAACTTCGGATGTTCATGCACGTTTGTTTTATTATATTACAATGAAAGACAAAAACTTTTTGGCCATTTGATTATTGTGACTAACATAAAACAAGTTCTTACTGTTATATGTGCACCCACAGTTACTGAAGCATAACATAAAAAAACTCTAAATACAGGAACATTCTGGTCTTGGAAACCAAAATATGCTGTCCTCTGAAACTATTCCTGATGAATGAGTTGAATATATAAAGTGTGAAGAGTGTCTGGTCTACTGCAATTAACTAATACTAACTCTCTGGTGCAGAACCTGCAGGTCCGACAACACCAAAGCCTGCCACCGGCCACTGTCCTGTGCCAATTTGATCCATTTGCCATCCTCACGGCCCACTTCCGTAAGATGCATCTTGATATTATCCTCCCATCTCCTCGTTATGCAGTATTCTAAATTGCCCACTTATTTCATCCTTCCTAGGTCCAGATATCTTTCTGAGCACCTTGTTTTCAAACACTTTTAATCTAGAATATAGAGTAAGCAAACCAACAACTATTAACACTATAATAAGACACTATTGCCATACTCGTTTCGACCTCAAGAGGTCATCATCAGGGAAATTAATACATTTAGTCAAATGGTGCTAGTGCAGCGTCACTTCGAATATTTTGTCAAATACCCTTTTCAATTTTAATTCTGAATCCAGTTTGAACCATTTGACTAAATGTATTCATTTCCCTGATGCCACTGATGATGACCTGTTGAGGTCGAAACGAGTATGGCAATAGTGTCTTATTATAGTGTTAATAGTTGTTGGTTTGCTTATTCTATATTCTAATACACTACGCGGTATGCAAAGTTTTAAGACTTGTAATCTACATTTTTCCTTCACAACCACACAAGACAACAGGCAAAATTATTGTTTTGTATATCCTGATCTTTAGTGTTTCTGATAGCAAATGAGATGATACAGTTTTTTTAATTGAGTGAAACAAGCATTTCCCGAATGTATTCTCATAATTTATCTTGGGCCTCATTTCTATTTGTTATTGTTGTTCCCAGATACTTACATTTTTAAACATTTTCAAATTAATGTGTTTTTGCCGTTGTTGCTGATGATGATCCCGTACAACATCCATGTATTTAGTTTTGTCTGCATTTACTTCTAGGCATATTTCCTTGTTCGCCTGTAGGAGAGTTTCTGCATTCTTGGTTATGGTACCCACACCATCCCCCAGAAAATTGACATCATCAGCATAGGCAAGTACCTGGTGCAGACCATTCAGTTCGAGCCCTTCCTGATTCCCTCTGACCTTCCTGATGACATGTTCTAGAGCAAAATTAAAGAGCATTGGGGATAAAGCATACCCCTGCCTTTGGCCATTGTGCACTGGGAACAGATCTGATAGAAGGTTACTTATACAAACTCTACTGGATACCCCATTCATACACATTTTTATTAACCTAACAAGTTTCTTTGGTATTCTAAACTCAAACTGTCATATATTACCTCTCTTCTGAGTCACATGGCTTCCTAAAGTCCACAGATAGTTCGTGTACTGACCCATTATACTCCCACTTTTCCTCTAATATTTGTCAAATGCAAAATATCTGATCAATAGTTGACCTATTGCTGCAAATCCACACTGATCATCCCCAATAGTTTCATTCATAAATGGTGTTAACCATGTCAGAAGAATATTCAATGAAATTTTATATGACGTCAAAAGAGATACCTCGGAAGTTACTGCACTCATTTTGTCACCTGTTTTATGGATAGGGGCAACAATTGATTCCTTCCACTTTTGTTGTAGTACTTTATGGTACTAGTACTTTTAGGCTGTAAGCTTATCTATCTGTGAGTGCAGTGTTCTACCACTGTTCATACCTGGAAATTTATGACGTTTTAAATGCCGGGTGGCAATTTCATCTTCATTAAGGCTCAGTTCTTGGATGAAGGGCTGTGCTGTATGTACTATAGGCTCTTTAAATTGATCAGCTGCATAAACGTTTAGTAACTTACTACACTAATGTTTCCATCTGTCTGCGAGCAGATCCTCATTCTCATCTTTGATGAAATGTGCCCTAGGTTTTTACCCCTTCTTAAAATTATGTATTTCTCTATGCAACTCTGCTGTTTTTATTTTTACTTTTAGTTTCCAACTCCCCTATCTGCTCTTTGAGATACTCCCTCTTCTTATAATAAACTAATACCCTGAAATTAATTTTCAAATGCTACAAGTGACATCATTGGTTGCGTTTGGGTATGAAGATGTCTGTTTTGTACATTCTAGCATCTTGTATTACTTTTAGTTGTTGGTATATGCTTTGCCATCTGTAATTTAAATTATTGTGTAATGGAAGTTTGAATTTAGTGTATGGTGGTTGACTGCCTCTAGTCCACAAGTGATTGAATTGTGACACATTAACTATAAAAGTAAATTTGGATACAAATTTTGAGGAGTTTGAGTTCTAGTGACATCCACAGTTTGTAAATTAGTGAAGAACGTATGAACAGGATTTTTCTTGAAAAGAAAATTAAGAACCCTCTTTCACTGAAATTTGGATAGGAAATTCATTTTGTAAATCTCAGGTGTAAACAGTGCTAAACTGGAATTACATTTTGTGGAGCATTTGTTTATTTCACAGTAGTGGTTTTCGGAATATGCGGAAGAAAGGATATTGGAAGTTAGGTAACTGCACACTGAACACCATGATTTGGTGGTTGGCATTTCTGCTTTGTATTCACCAGGTATTGGGTTCGTGTCAGCCCAGAGACCAGCTATATTGACAGAGGTTTTTAATTGGTTTCCTGTCTTCCCAGGCTGTTGCTCAGATGGTACCTCATATTAGGCCATGACCACTTCCTTCCACACCCTCTCCAATTCATTTCTCAGTTTATTTTATGCTGTTAAAGGAGGTATATAGTGTGCAATTAGAAGTAGCTCCATCATTTGGAGTCTTTCTTGAAAAATTAATTTTCTGCTTCTATTGGAATGAAGGTTCCTTTCCCTGATCACGAAAGCATGTGACTCCTGTGTCCTGACCACGTTTAATTCTAGCTACACCCTCACAGACTATTCATGTAAAATCCACTGCAATTCAGTTGTTCCATTTATGCCTAGGTCTCGCAAGTCTGTCGTTTTGTGTGCATTCCTATCTTTTCCATGCATGCTGGAAATCTTGTCCATTTCATTGTCTTTGGTTTGATAATTCTAATAATGTGGTGATGAATACAAATAGTGAATTTCCTTGTCCATATGCTTCTCTCCTTTCTCCTGTTAGGATCCTCTTTTCGTTGCTTAAATTGTCCAAGTCCAACGGTATGAGGCTGTTAATTGCATGCCTAACCTCAAACCTGAAAGATCACTGCTTTTTGGCTGTCTGCAACTGCAAATTCATTATATTCACAGCTACAAGAACTGTTTGTAAGAATGTAAAATCCAAAAGATATTTTAACATTTTTCTCTAACCACCGTTGCTTATTATTCACGCCCTAGTGTGAGTGAAGAACAACTTATGGACTGGTTTTTCTGTTTGTCCGTCTGCCCACATGATTCAACTAGAGAACTGTCAGGCAGATGATGATGAAATTTTGTATGGACTTAATCCCTAAAATTGTAATTTTTCAGTTTCCTACAGTTAGGAAATACCAGCATAGCTGATGAACAAACTTGTTTGGTTTTGAGGTTCCAACAGTCACACGTATGAAGTTAATTGTTTTGTGGGTTGTGGCATTGTGTAGTTTGGTAGAAGTTTATCAGTGTTTCAGAGGTACTTGCTGCCATTACCTCAATGATGAAGGAAGGTAATATGTCTGAAACATTGGTCAACATCTGCCAGACTACATGGTGATACAACCTAGAAGACACCCATTTTCAAATTGTATTTAGTTGCAACTATAAATAAATGTTTTGATATGGGTCGCATGACTTTTTAGTCCCTGTATTATTTAATGACAATGCTGGATTTTTACAGAAATATTGACCATTTTGAGCTGTCATTTATAAAATATTAAGAATGTGATTTTGTTTTTAAAGAACATTAAAAACAAGGAAGTATTTGTATGTTTTTAAAAATACATTTTACATAACAATTCTCTCTTTCTTTTATGAAGTCAGATATGTTACTTTCTGAGAATTTGTATTATTAAATAGTATGAAGAAATTTACCTATTATCCATTTCAAGTGAATATCAACTTTTGTAATTCTTTTAGTTAAAGAAATGCAGTTTTACTTACTGCCCACAACATTTTTA